CCGCCCGCACACACAGACAGAGGTGTGAGAAATGTTTAGACTAGCATCATGACACGCAAGCACAATCACCCAGAGAAGAAAGAAATTGGTCGCCGTTTATACCTTTCTGCTTCGCATTTTCCTCTCTCATTGACAATCATTACCACCGCCACCACACGTTTCTGCAGACGGATTTGTTTCCGCTCCCCCCCCTCCCCCCGGCCACCCACCGAGTACTTCATTTTCTTCCTTATTTGTTGTGCATTTTTCGTGTTTAATGCTGTCTAGTCAACTAAACAAGTGCTATTTTATTCTTTACTACTACTACTACTACTACTACTACTACTACTACTACTATTACCGCTAATACTCTCCTCTTCTATTGGTTGCCTGGCCTTCGTGGCCAGAGGGTTACTTCTCCCGGCTGCAACAGCGCATGCGCAACTTGACGGTAGCAAGTATTCCTGTCGCTGCCAGATTCAAGCGTAGGTCTCTCCATTCATCCCTCCGGCAATCTCTGTATGATCTAAGCACTGTCTGACCATAATACAGTTACTTACTCTAACCGATTGTTTAAATCAGTGCGTAGCAGCTTGATGACCATCCCATGCGCTCCTGGCGTGATATGGACAATAATCAGAGCACGGGGGCTGAACAACGCCGCATGAACGGCCGTACCTGGAACACCTGCTTAGTGCTGACCTGAACCTGTGTAACAACGTTTAGCGGGCAATGGGACGTTGATAGCAGGGAGAAGGAGCGTCCTTAGGCAAGGGCAGCCGTCGTCAATGGGGTCAGCCTAAGTCATAAACCCTAGAAAGAGGAGCGTCGCCATCCCGGAACTTCAGGCTTCAGCCTAGCGCTGATTTAAGCGCATGTGAAATCTTAGGCTGCTCTATTTGTCTCATTTTGGCCCTAGGCATGTAAGTTAGGAAGGTAAGGCTTCTCTCACACTCAGCTTCCGGTACATGTGCGATGCGACTTTGAGACTACCACGGTTGACGGTGACTGAGAAGGCAGCCAGCTGACAAATTTACCGGACCCAGCATCAGCCTTTGTGTGGGTAGTGGCTGATGAGTGGAATAAGAGTCAGACGAAGACGGCTCCCTCTAATCCCGTTTTCGTAAATCCTACTGTGCGTGTTTCAAGGGTCGTGCTGTAGTGCGCGCAGACGGGTTTGCCGGCCGTCATCCACTGCGCCCATACCGCAAAAGACCGGCTTCGACAGTGGTCTAATGCTGACAGGGAGGGAGAGATTAAGGTCGGTAAGTCAGTGAATTTAGTTCCTCACTTTACTAAATTTGGAGCGCTTGAAGCTACCACGGTGCGCTAAAAGCTGTGGCTTCGTGGATTGTTAACTGACGGGATAACTCGGACCGTGCGGTCAGCCCGGTGTGCGTTTATTCTTGTGTGGAGCGGCTGAAATGGTTCCTTCTTAATGATCTCACGTAAGTGGGACCCTAACTAGGTGTTGTTCTGACGCACACTGGAGGGCGGCCTATGCCGCCTCTGGTCTTCTTGACTTTGTCTCGACAGGTAGGAGTGAGGTAGATACCGCGCAAATGTACTTTCGCTATCATTCAGCGTGTGCTCAATGTTGTCAGATATAGAGGTTAGTGAGAACGCTCATGGCCGGCATAACTCGGTTCTCGCCTAGGGCTGCAACCTAATCTTGACGGGGAATATCCGGTGGCTGGTGCGTTTGCGGAAAACAACAAAGTTGCCGTACAATTATACATGAACCCAGCCAAGTCGTCCATCAAACGAAACATTGGTAGTAGCACACCTTTGCACTGCCTGCGTTCCTGTATATTCCAATTTAATTTTCACGGCTAATGATAAAATCAAGGAGAGCTTATTGCCGTCTTTCCTTCCTTATCAAATAGCACATCAATGAAAATTGCATTGGCGCATACTAAACTGTTCCGATTCCTTTCGAAAACTGAGATCTGAATGGCTCAGTTTACTGCGGTTGAATAGTACAAAACTTAACTCAAATAGATTTTTGACCTAGCCGCATGGCAAAGTATCCAGACCGTAGCTGATGCCAACCTGATCGGATCGACGTGTCCCTCCGAGCCAACAATCGTCAACGAGATTCAGACGGAACTGCTTATTTTTGAACTTGCCTTTTGGTTGCTTCAATTTTATGAGCAATCAGATGCTGCTTACCTAACCGCGACCGAAACCTACATTTCCCCTGCCGCTGTCGCCTCCATAAGTGGGGGTGAGATGCCCCGATTCAAACTGAAATCATCTCAGCAAGCAGTTGAACGTTTTGAATTGAAAGTGGGCTGGAGCGAACACTCAACAGAGCAATCGACTTTGCTTATTAGCCCCCAATTA